CAAGGACACATGAGGGCACTAAGAGAGCACAAGGGGAGAACCTGGAGTGGAGCACAAGAGGAGCTGGGGAACAAAGGGACACAAGAGGGAATCTAGAGAGGGATGGAGGACACCAGGAGGCACATAAAGGAGGGGGCAGATGCAGACCATGACAGTACCCCCCCCCCCTCTAAGGGCGGATACCAGACGACCACAAGACAGACAAACACCACAAGCAAAAGACAAGGCAAAAACAAGACACGAAACAACCAGAGGGAGGGAGAGGAGGGAGCAAACAAAACACAACCCAAAAAGGGGCAGGCGAGGAGGGAACAGGAGACCCTGGGAGGCCGGCGACGGGGAAACTGGAGGCGGGACGAGGGAAGCCTAGGGGGCCGGCGACGGGGAATCAGGAGGCGGGACGAGGGAAGCCTAGGGGGCCGGCGACAGGGAATCAGGAGGCGGGACCAAAGATGCCCAGGGGGCCGGTGATGGGGAACAGGGGTCTTAGAGGAGGATGACGAGGAAGGAACTCCGGAGCCCGGGGAGACTGGAAGGCTTGAAACTGAGAGACTTGGGGAGACTGGAAGGCTTGAAACTGAGAGACTTGTGGAGATTGGAAGGCCAGAGACGGGGGAACTTGTGGTGACTGGTAGGCCAGAGACGGGGGAACTTGTGACTGGAAGGCCAGAGACGGGGGAACTTGTGGTGACTGGAAGGCCAGAGACGGGGGGAACTTGTGGTGACTGGAAGGCCAGAGACGGGGGAACTTGTGGTGACTGGAAGGCCAGAGATGGGGGAACTTGTGGTGACTGGAAGGCCAGAGACGGGGGAACTTGTGGTGACTGGAAGGCCAGAGACTGGGGAACTTGTGGTGACTGGAAGGCCAGAGACTGGGGAACTTGTGGTGACTGGAAGGCCAGAGACTGGGGAACTTGTGGTGACTGGAACTCTTGAGGCTTCTGGGAACGGAGCGACGTCGACTTCAGAGCCGGGCGAGTCTGCTTCAGAGCCGGAGGGGGCGACGTCGGCTTCAGAGCCGGGCGAGTCTGCTTTAGAGCCGGAGGGGGCGACGTCGGCTTCAGAGCCGGGCGCGTCTGCTTCAGAGCCGGAGGGGGTGACATCGGCTTCAGAGCCGGGCGCGTCTGCTTCAGAGCCGGAGGGGGCGACGTCTGCTTCAGAGCCGGAGGGGGCGCCGTCTGCTTCAGAGCCGGAGGAGGCGACGTCTGCTTCGGGGCCCGGGGACGTGGGAGCGCCGTCTGCTTCAGAGCCGGAGGGAGCGACGTCTGCTTCGGGGCCCGGGGATGTGGGAGCGCCGTCTGCTTCAGAGCCGGAGGGAGCGACGTCTGCTTCGGGGCCCGGGGACGTGGGAGCGTTTGCTTCGGGGCCCGGGGACGTGGGAGCGTCTGCTTCGGGGCCCGGGGACGTGGGAGCGTCTGCTTCGGGGCCCGGGGACGTGGGAGCGTCTGCTTCGGGGCTCGAGCCGGGTACGTCTGCTTCGGGGCTCGAGCCGGGTACGTCTGCTTCGGAGCTCGAGCCGGGTACGTCTGCTTCGGGGCTCGAGCCGGGTACGTCTGCTTCGGGGCTCGAGCCGGGTGGCGTCCGCTTCTGTACCACCGCTGAGGCGAGGTGCGATGCGTCCACCTGGACCACCGCTGAGGCGAGGTGCGATGCGTCCCCTTGGACCACCGCTGAGGCGAGGTGCGATGCGTCCCCTTGGACCACCGCTGAGGCGAGGTGCGATGCGTCCCCTTGGACCACCGCTGAGGCGAGGTGCGATGCGTCCCCTTGGACCACCGCTGAGGCGAGGTGCGATGCGTCCCCTTGGACCACCGCTGAGGCGAGGTGCGATGCGTCCCCTTGGATCACCGCTGAGGCGAGGTGTGACTCAGACGCAGGTCTCCGAGTAGGGGCCTCTGAGATAGGCGGCACCACTCTGGCCTCAGGAGAGTGCTGGTGATGGCGTTGTCGTCTACGATGAGCACGACTCCTAGGAGGTGCGGGGGTGACTTCAACAGGTGCGGAGGAAGTGATACAGCCCACCGGAGATGAAGTGGTGGCGCTGTCAGAACCTGGTGAGGGTGTGGTGGTGTACTCCATCTGAGAAACTGAGGTGGCATCAACATGCATAGGAGAGATTGAAATGAATACGGTTCTGATGGTCTGAGATGGGGAGTTGATGCAGTCCGGATCAGGTGAGGGTGTGGCGGTGTGACACATCGGAGAGGAAGTGGTGGCCCTGTCAGGACCTGGTGAGGGTGTGGCGGTGTGACCCATCTGAGATGCTGAGGTGGCATCAGCGACTGGTGGAGGAGGATCTCGGCCAAAAGTGCGGAGGAGCAATGCAGCAAAGTCCCAAAAAGACACAGCCTTAAGATCCTCTATGTCGAAACGGTCAGCAACCCACCGCATGGCTTTACCCCTCAACCAGAGCACCATATACGAAACCTTGTTGAACTCTGAAGATTCCAAGTCCAAACAACGGGCACAGTCCCGAATGAAACCCATACAAAGGTCTGGATCACCGTCATAATAGAACATCTCCTGTGTACCTGGAGTTCCTGCTGGGTCCTGTTCTGGTCGGTCCATTCTGTCACGATGCGGTGGTGTGGACCCAAAATGCAGTACCCAGGATGACACGGAGGCAGGGATGAAGATTTTAAATAAAAAGTCTTTATTTTGTGGGTTAGCCAAAAACCAAGGTAATCCAAACTGGGAGTCAAAATCCAAAAAGCCAAAAATCCCATAGGTCAAAGAGCAGATTATTATCTGGGAATCAAGAAACTCTGGTTAAACACAGAGGGACTAAACTGACAGAATCAACAAACATTAATGGACCGACAAGAACACAGAGACAGACAGGGCTTAAATACACTGGGAGGAGCAATCAGGGAAAATGGCAGCAGGTGTGTGAAGTGAGAGCTGGAGGGAAGACAGGTGAACCTAATAATCAAAATGGGAAACAGAAACAGAGGGCCAAATAACCCTAAGAAACTTAAGACACCAAAACTAAACCTAAAGGCTGCAGGAAGGACTAACACACACACACACACACACACACACACCAATGTACTTATATATAAACAGGAAAGGGGAATGGACAAGCACACACACACACACACAAACACTGAGCAGGAGACTGAATCTCACACACACGTTGAGCTGGGGACAAAGAAGCTGGGGACTACAAGGACACAGAATGTAAATGAGACCTGGAGGACCTGGGGATGAATGAGATGACACAAGACCTGGGAGGAATAGACTTAAAGGACTACAAACATAAGACACTAAACTGACACGCAGAAAAGGACACATGAGGGCGCCAAAGAGCTACAACATAAGACACATAACAGGGATGCAGACAAGGACACATGAGGGCACTAAGAGAGCACAAGGGGAGAACCTGGAGTGGAGCACAAGAGGAGCTGGGGAACAAAGGGACACAAGAGGGAATCTAGAGAGGGATGGAGGACACCAGGAGGCACATAAAGGAGGGGGCAGATGCAGACCATGACACACACACACACACACACACACACACGTAATGTGTCTATAGATATATTGTGATGTCTTAGTAAATATTGTATTTGGTGAAAGATAAACTTTATTGTATTTATCCTAGTGGATCTATAATTAAACGGATAAACTAGTAGTAGCACATCCAACGTCAATGAAAACAAAAAGTTATTATCAGGAGAGAGAGAATGTTTAAGTGGTTAGCAGCAGTGTGCTAGACGATGGCCCCCTCCATGAGGCCACCACAGCTCAGGAGAACATCGTTGTAGCTTCTTCTGGGGAGAAAAACACTTACACAGAAAATAAAGTTAACAGCTGAAATTGCACAAAATAGTACAGTTAAAGAGCAGACTGTAGAAGAAAGCAGTAGAGTGTGAAAAGTGGTCAGTGTGTCCTCCAGCAGTCTAAGCCTATAGCAGCATAACTACAGAGATAACTCTGGATGATCTATCCTATTTAGATGGAGACATGTTGGAGGCAGGGCAAGGGAGAGCCGTCTTTACCGACTGTACACTCCACCTCCCTGTACTCCCCCACTTGTCCAGATTTAGGCTAACATCAGATTTTAACCATAGGCCCTATCAAATAAAAATGTTTTAAGCCTATTCTTAAAAGTAGACAAAGTGTCTGCCTCACGGACTAAAGCTGGGAGCTGATTCCACAGGAGAGGAGCCTGATAACTAAAAGATCTGCCTCCCATCCTAAGTTTAGATATTCTTGGAACCACCAGTAGACCTGCAGTCTGAGAGCGAAGTGCTCGGTTAGGAACATATGGAACAATCAGATTACTGATGTTTCCATCATGGGAGAAGAAGTGGAGGTGGTTGAGGAATACAAATACCTTGGAGTTCACCTGGACAACAGACTGGACAGGAGAAAGAACAGCGAAGCCGTTTACAAGAAGGGACACAGCAGACTGCACTTCTTAAGGACGCTTAGGTCCTTCAATGTCTGTAGCAAGATGCTGCAGATCTTCTACAAGTCTGTTGTTGAGAGTGTAATCTCTTCAGCCATCGTCTGTTGGGGTAGCAGCATCAGAAGCAGGGACCTGAAAAGGCTGGTTCTGTTCTGGGGACGACTGTGGAACCACTGGAGGAGATAATGCAAAGAAGGATTCTCCAGAGAATCAAGAACATGATGGACAACCCTGAGCATTTTCTTCACAAGACTGTCCGACAACGGAAGAGTGTCTTCAGTCAGAGGCTTCTTCAGTTTGGCTGCAACACTGACCGCTACTGGAGATCCTTCCTGCCAACAGCCGTTGTAATATACAACACCTCTTTGATGACTTGATTATTATTATTATTCTGAGCTACTACAGCAATCAGTTTCCCTCTGGGATTAATCAATTATTTTTTAATTGAATTGAATTGAATTGAGAAAGGGGAGGAGGGACTGCCCATGTGTCATCTATGTTTTTGCTTATGAACAATACAAAACTGGTATATATAGATGTGTGCCTGCATTCCCTCCAGCTATTTAAATATAAAACTGCTTTTCTACAGGCTTCTGTTTGTGTTGTGGAACTGAGAACATCGAGATTTCGCACCCTCTTTTTCAAGGCAGCCTCTGCTTAAAGTGCAAAGTAAGCGCTCATCATTCACTTTTGTCTGTTTCATTGCAAATTCATTCAATGGTAGAAATATGATGGTTTCTTCTGTTACGGACTTTAGACTATATTTTTATATATTATATATATTATTCTATATTATGGACCTGTTGAATCTTGATTTGCAGGAAATTGTGAATAGAATTGAAATCGCAATTTCTCCTAGAAAGAATGCTATCCAGTCTTTTCCTAAAATCGTTTAGCCCTAGTTTGATTAGTCTGAGACCAAACATTGGTACAAAGGATGGTTCAAAGCTGTGGTAATCAATACATTTGCTGCATTCTCTAGTAGAAAGAACACCTTTTAGGTCGTACTCTTGAGTACTAAAAGCCCTAGTGCATCTGTTTCAGGATCTAGAAGATTGCCAGATCAGATACTTCCTGATATTTGGACATCCCACCAATGATAGGCTAACGGCAGTGCGACTCTACCATTGACTCGGTTTACTTTGCAACATAAATTTTTTAATCTCCACAAATAACACAAGCCTGGAGGAGTTTTGCCATGTGGTGGAGTTGCTAATTCTAACAATTAGCTTTTACTAGCTGGGATGTTCTCTGCTGTTTCCTGAATGCTAAACCAACAACAGCCTTATTTGTGAGTCAGGATGGGTGAGTCCTTGAACGTTAAAGTGATGATGGGATGTCATGCTATCGTGCTTTTCTAATCCTAGAGTTTCACTGACTATTTTTTCATCAGAATCTCTTTTGGGAGATAGGTTTAAATTGAGAACTTTTAATTTTAGCTAGCACCCAACTGGTTTTTACACTGTCAGATATATTTTGTGTGTGTGTGTGTGTGTGTGTGTGTGTGTGTGTGTGTGTGTGTGTTTGCTTGCGCAGGATAACTTCACAGAAACTCTATATCGCTACGATGAAGATGGATACCAGTCCTACTGTACTATTTGCTGCTACGGGCTTGAGGTCATACTGTGTGGAAATGATAGCTGTTGCAGGTGTGTCTTTGTCACTAAGCCTAGCCCAGACAGGTAACAGGTGGAGACAAGTGCTGTCATCTTCTCTGCATTGTTTATCTGCAGGTCCTATTGTGAGGACTGCCTGAACATCTTGGTTGGACCAGGGACATTTGAGTCACTTAAGCACCTTGACCCATGGATTTGTTACCTGTGCCAACCTCATCTGCCCCACGGTGCGCTGGTTCCTAGAGTGGATTGGAGTGTTCAAGTCCAGGAATTGTTTGCTAACAACAGTGCAATGGAGTTTGTAAGTAATCAGTTTATCTGAGTCTATCAGATTTTTTATCTGCACAGCTGAAAATACTCTGATATATATATATATAATTTTTGTAAATTAGCTTTCCTTATGTGGATTCCTTAAAAACAACTTCTTTACTCAGTTGAACACAGGAACAAAATTCAATGAACCGGCAAATTGTTAGGATGTAACAAGCTAACAAAAAAGGTTCAAGTAGATGGAGCAGATGGCCAGTCTTTACACTGAACTCTCTCTATACATTTCAGGGTTTCCCTTACATAGGCGGAGCCGTGGCGGCCCGCCACGGCTGAAATCCCACCGCCACGCCTACAAGATCCCAAGTTTTTTTTTTTTTTTTTTTCGGGCGCTGTTTCCCGAAGAAGCAGCGGGAACTACTATGTTGTCGCTTGTGATCACAACAGGTGGAGGAGCAGGCAGGGCAAGGTGAAGTTGCAGCATAAGTTACTGAGTTTAAAATTAGAAAGGTAGCAGTGGATATGAAGCTTTTTGGTTGACGTTTCAATAGCATTAAGATAAACGAGTGTTGACAATCTTGACAGGGTTTCCTCCAGTGCTTATTAGGCCAGGTTCTCCTCCCCCCACCAGGCTAAGCATCACTTATTCATGTAAAATTTATTTTTTCATGTCTGACTTTAACTGCATCTAATACTGTATTACGGCGTGAGCGCAACAGCGACAACTTAAGATCGATGTGTGAGCAGCCTGAGAGGTCGGGTGTTTTCATCTGAACCCTTAAAACCTCCAGCAGGCTACGCTGCACTATTGACGTGTTAGCGCGCGGCGCTAACAACTTAGCGACGTGACATGTCTCGGAGAAAGCGTAAAAACACGTTGGACGCTTCTTCTGAAGCGGGAAAATAACGCTTCTTCTTAAGCAGAGCACGACGTCACCTCGGCTCGTTCACGGCCGAGCCGGTACCGGACTGAGCTCGACAACTGACCCAGCACAGCCACTGGGTCGTTGGAGCTGCCCCGTGACTGCCTGATAGAAAACCAGCGGGTTTCATCAAACTCGTAAAGTTTGTTGTTTTTGCTGGGGACCCCCTGTATTTTACCGCTCCCTCCTGCAGTCTTCCCCTATTAACATTTAAAATGATTCTGTAAATCCGTGTATCAATAGAAACAATCTCTGCCTCTGCCAGCTGCAGTAAATGTAGTCTCCAAATAATAAATAAGAGGTGCATTCATCTGTGGATCTCCTTTGATCCACGTTAGTGATATTCTCGGCACCAGAACAGTGAAGCAAAGAAAGATTCCTGAGTTTGTTAGTAATTTTATTTATTAGGTGCATCTAACCTGTTCTATTCTTCTCTGAAATGAGATCAAATCAGTGGTTCTATGGGTTGGCTCCAGTCTGCACTGGAAAATTTTACTTTATTTAGAGACTTGTCATAATTTCTTCCCAAGCCCCCCACCACAGCTGGAAAAATTCCTAGGGGAAACACTGCATTTACATAATTTTATAATGTCCTGTCGAAAACAGAGGCCTCATTAGTGCCCTACCAGTGTGATTGTTTCTATTAACAATTATGAGCCACCTATTCTCAACCTAAGTGACAGTACTGAGGAGGCATCATGGGTGAGAAATGAATCCTAACTAAACAGGTCCACAGATCATTCCTTGTTGGGGTGGTTCACACCACACTTAACCTGATGGGTGACCAAGCAAAGCCTGGCGGCCTGCCAGGCTTATAAATTGCTGGGGCAACCCCTGTCCACTGCTTCTCCACATCGAGAGGAGCCAGTTGAGGTTTTACGGGCATGTCCAAACAGGGAGAAGACTTAAGGGAAGACCATCGACATACATATATGGACAATGGGTTTCCATAGACTCCAATAACAAGTTTTTGTACTAAAATGGGAGGTGGCCACAGCCGCCATTTTGACCGTGTCACAGGTTCCGTCCAGCCCAGACAATTCCACAAAAGGGAAGAGAGGAGGAGCTGAGGGTGGGGCTGTAAGGCTGGGATCAAATGACGACACCCGATCGAACTAGCTACAAGCTAACCTGAAGCTAACCCTAAGCTAACGCGGAGGTGGGAGCTAAGCTAACGGAGGTAGCAACCTAGCTACAACCGGAGTTATCTGTGCACAACACCAGAGCTTCTGAGTCAGAGATACGCCGGGCTGACCGCTGGGTAAAACCGGGAGGAACACAGAGGTCTCGGAGAGCTCCACAAGCCGATAGTGGGAACCCAGCTCCACCAACATGTTATATTTCAACCCATTTTCTAAAGTGCAGCATTATGTTACATGCACTGGGTTTTACCCTATTACATTTAAATTTCATGGTTAAACAGTACATGTTAAAATCTAAGCTCAGCTCGGCAGTGACCTAAAATACATAAATATAATTTTACTTACCGAAAAAAATGAAGTGGAGACTCCTTGGATGCTCTATTAGTGCAATTAATGCCACAGCAAGTCATTTTGTCCAACAATTGCACAAATAATATCCAAACAAGAATACACACACACAGAGACTCAAAATCCCGGAGCAGTTTCCAGGCCAGACCGAGGCTCTACTGAGGCCTTTCCACGGAGCTAGCTCTGTGGTCACGTGGGTCTGATGCTCATTAATTATACAGAATTTTAGGCTTTTAATACACTTAAACAGAAGAGTGAGAAAAACATTCACCCCCCTCAGAGTTGTCGTGAGTGTAAACTAGATCATTTAAACCAAAAACATGTTCTGGTACCAGGCTGTAAACATGTTTATTTCTGCTGTGAAATTGGTATTTTTAACATGGGAGTCAATGAGGATTTGCTCGCTTCTGACACCAGCCCCTAGTGGGTGAGGGTGGAACTGCAATTTCTGGTACTTCCGGGTTGAGACCAATTTCTGAGCCGAATTGTGGGGGCTTGGGGAAGACCCAGGACACACTGGATAGACTATGTTTCTTGGCTGGCCAGTGAACACCTTGTGATTTCCCCAGAAGAGCTGGCCCAATTGGCAGAAGAAAGGGATGTCTGGGCCTCTCAGCTTAAGCTGCTGCCCCCACAACCCGATTCATGTCTGCAAAGGTCTCAATCTGTGGGTGAAAGTTCTCAGCGACCCAGCTCTTTGACCCAGCCGAGTCAAATGACCTTTTGCACAGAAAACCCATATTTCCTCACGTTACACGGATAAGCGGAAGAAAATAGATGGATGGATATACATGCTGATATTTATGCTTCTGAAATTAGCAGATTTTTTTTATAGACTGAAGTAGAGTTGTGTGATCTGACGATAAAATCATAATGTAATGATGGATAGAAAGATAGATGGATGAATAGATATTGGAAGTTTAAGAAGTTTTTAGGTTTCAGAATTATTTAACCTATTTTGTGTGAATGGGTATGCTTTTAAATAACTGCTAAATAACTTCCAAAATGTCAGAATTGTCGAACTAGAAAGAACAGTGAAAAAATCGTATTGGCTTTTTGCCAAAAACAAAAATAGCGATCTGATTGGTTTTTTTTTTTTTTTTTTGTAATTTTTTTTTCAAATCGCACACCCCTAGACTGAAAATTGTTCAAGCTGAATTTTTGAATGTCTTGCTTTATATCTATAAATGGCATCAATGTGTATACAGTATTGATGCCAAAATATCGTGTGTCCCTACTTTTTTATAGATAAAATTTTTAAAATTCACGGTTTGGCTCACGCCCTTTCTTTATTTAAATACAAGGCATGTGTACCATGTTCCCACTTGTAGAGACATCTACTAAATTCAGGGTCAGTTAACCATTTTTGGGTTGAATCCACTCGTTCAATGTTTACCAGCATGGCTGAGTGGCTGCTCCGACGAGAGGTGGTTGTGTAGCTGCTGTTTTTAAAGACTCATTCCTTTGCAAACAAATAGTGTGTGGTGACTTAGACTTTTTTGAGTATATTTGTTTTGAATTAAAAGGTAAACCCTAGATCTTAGTGTTAGTAATATGCAGACCTCCAGGGTCATGCATTAATTTCTTAGAAAACTTCACTGAGCTTCTCTCTGTTATCACAACAGACTTCAATCATCTTCTCATAACTGGTGACTTTAACATACAGGTCCTTCTCAAGAAATTAGCATATTGTAATAAAGTTAATTATTTTCTGTAATGTACTGGTAAACATTGGACTTTCATATATATTAGATTCATTACACACAACTGAAGTAGTTCAAGCCTTTTATTGTTTCTAATATCGATGATTTTGGCGTACAGCTCATGAAAACCCAAAATTCCTATCTCAAAAGCAAAAGGTTCTCTAAACGAGCTATCAACCTAATCATCTGAATCAACTAATTAACTCTAAACACCTGCAAAAGACTCCTGAGGCATTTAAAGACTCCCAGACTGGTTCATTACTCAAAACCGCAATCATGGGTAAGACTACCGAACTGACTGCTGTCCAGAAGGCCATCATTGACACCCTCAAGCAAGAGGGTAAGACGCAGAAAGACATTTCTGAACGAATAGGCTGTTCCCAGAGTGCTGTATCAAGGCACCTCAGTGGGAAGTCTGTGGGAAGGAAAAAGTGGCAGAAAACGCTGCACAACCAGAAGAGGTGACTGGACCCTGAGGAAGATTGTGGAGAAGGACCGATTCCAGACCTTGGGGGACCTGCGGAAGCAGTGGACTGAGTCTGGAGTAGAAACATCCAGAGCACCGTGTACAGGCGTGTGCAGGAAATGGGCTACAGGTGCCGCATTCCCCAGGTCAAGCCACTTTTGAACCAGAAACAGAGACAGAAGCGCCTGACCTGGGCTACAGAGAAGCAGCACTGGACTGTTGCTCAGTGGTCCAAAGTACTTTTTTCAGATGAAAGCAAGTTTTGCACGTCATTCAGAAATCAAGGTGCCAGAGTCTGGAGGAAGACTGGGCAGAGGGAAATGCCAACATGCCTGAAGTCCAGTGTCAAGTACCCACAGTCAGTGATGGTCTGGGGTGCCATGTCAGCTGCTGGTGTTGGTCCACTGTGTTTTATCAAGGGCAGGGTCAATGCAGCTAGCTATCAGGAGATG